CAGAATGAAACCAAAGAATGGCTAAGGCCAAAGGAAGTAGCGGAACTTGCCGAGAAATTCGAAGAGAGCCAGCGCGATCGAAACTGGGAGCCCCAGAGGGCGGCCGAGGGGACACAGGTGAACATGCGGGGTGGGCCTGCGGAAGTTGGGGGCGACCAGCGAAGGGTTGAGAAACCTCGACCGCAAGGGTGCTTTTCGTGTGGGAGGCTGGGGCACCTTAAGCAGAACTGCCCTGGATTAGTACATACAGCCGTGGACTCCGGGAACAAACCGGCCTCCGCGTGTCTGTGTGCGGGGGTAAGACCTTCGCCTCGGTCACGCGAGACATTTGAGACGACGGGGACGCGCAGGCATGGAGAAACAGTTTCGGGTATAGGCTAGGTATAGCAAACCTTTTCTTTTTTTTTCTGTTCGCGTTTGCATTTCCTTGTTTGTAGCCAATGTTAATTTTTTTTTTCTGCGGTTTCCTTTAGGTAAATGCTGGTCATGGTGGAGTCTGGAACGTACGGGTTTGGGTCTCACCGGACTGTGTTTGCTTGTGTTTTTTTTTTGTGTTGTTGGCTTTCCCTGTCGCCCAACAGATTATTTTTTTGTTGTCAGGGGGTATAGCTCCTCTGTTGTTTTGTTTTCGTATGCTACGCGTCTGTCTCGAAAGGTTGGACAGATGTTGCGCGAACAGCAAGTGTAGAGCATAGTTGTAACCCGAGACTGGGGATACGGACAAGGGACAAAACACAGAACGACAGGGACGAAGTCGTTCTGTGTTTTGTCCCTTGTCCGTATCCCCAGTCTCGGGTTACAACTATGCTCAATTTACACCAGCTAGCCTGCACCCTCACCATTGCTTCATAGCAAGTGTACTTGCAACATTCTTGGTGGGGAGGTGTTAAGTAACGAAGGATGTTGTTAGAAATAAGTAAGATTTGTTTTAGAAAAGTCTATCTTTCGACAGTTGCGTCGGCATCGTTTTATTTTTTTTTTTAGCTTTCTTTGTGAGTGTCGGCGTTTTGGAGGGAGCATTTGCGGGGGCAGAGCGGCCGGGAGTGGGGAGCGGCTTCCCCGCGGTCGTTAAGAAACGTCTCGGGTTTCGGTGGTCTGCTCGGACAGATCCCTTCTTGCAGCTGGTTGTGGCTTTTAGCCGAATGTGCCTGTATATAAAGGGTTTCGCCGCTTAGTGTAAAATTGTCGCTTTTTGCCCGATGCAATAACTTAGCGGTTGGCGCCAGTCAGACTGGAAAAATTGCAGAGAACAACCCTAGAAGGAATTTAGGTTTGACGGTTACAGCGACAGGATGACAGCTCGCCGACCATTGGACGACAGTGTACCACGTGGGAGTGGTGAAATTTGAAGCGATTGGTCCATCTCTGGAGGGAAAGGAGGCATCTACGAGGCTAGAAAAGGGCTGCCGAGAGGGTTCTCGGGGGATTCGGCTCTTGAGACTGGGGACTAAAGTATGGGGTTTTAATTTTGGAAGTTTTGTATATTACCGTTGACTTGTCGTTTTGTTTCGAAAATAAACGTGGCCACACTGGCCACCGTAAACCTACCAACGTCGTAATGTGTCCAGCGGGATCGAACATCTTTTAGTTTTTTTTTCTTATTCGACTTCCCGGGGGACTACCATCGGGCGAACACCATCATCGGTCGTCACCATCTTGACCGGGCCCCTTCCCCCTCGGAAAGTTGACTCCACTCAACGGCTTAGTGGCCACGTCAGCCACGCATGGACACAATGCAGTGTCTTTTCAGCCGAGCTCGCTTCCAAACGGAGGTGACTAAACGCCCGGAATACGTCCGAGGCATTCCCTTTCGGGACGACGCCAGCCTACTTCGCTGGGGAGGCGCACCTGCGCTTTTCGAGGTCAACCCCGTTCTCGAACAAAGCACGGTGACGCAACACGAAGCAAGGGCAGCTTTTTGCCTTCGAGACGGCTCGCGGGGCTCACCCAGAGTGCACACCCCGTCAGCGCACAAACTAAAAGCGTATCTCGGAGCGAGAAAATGCGCTGTGCCTGCAACACCGGTCCCAGTCTAGCGAGGTTGCGAAGACCGCCGATGGCGCCCTTCGTCGCCGCGTCGAGGGACCAGTAGCCATCAGGTTGACCAAGCGACCCCGGAACAAAGGCCCCCCCGGGAAAACTGAGTGAGTCAAAATGATTTCCTTTGTACTCCGTCTTTCCTTCCCGCTATCAAGGGACAGAGGACTGGCGTGAGCATGGTTTTCGGCTACTAGAATTGAGTATGTTCCGTTTACCCGCGATCGACTCCGGCCAAAAGTCAGTGAGCGTCGCACGCAATAATAACGTTAGGAACCCTTGAGGGCCACCTATCAAGTTGCAACCCCGTAAAAGCGACGTTAAATGTGAAAACGCCGCGGGGTCCGGGAGCAGTTCAATCGTGCTACCGGGCAGTGCAACAGGTTGAACAGCGTCCCGAGATGATTGCGTGTCCGATTAAGGTGACCGCCATGCGGTCACTGGACGAGATCGTGAACCACGGCACTCGAGGTGTTCGTTGGGAATCGACGGTAGCACCGATGAGTTTTTGACGCTCAGCAGAACGATCCGGGGTGTAAATATGTGAATAGTTGTAAATACTTTCGCGGACTCTGCGGAGTCGGGCGGTGCGTCCGCCGGGCGGTACGCTCGCCACTAACGTCGCTAAGCAACTCGTATTGTTGCAGACGGGCTTTGGCAGCCGGGCAGCGTACTCGCCGGGTCGAGCAACTCGTGTTGTTGCCGATCGATGCCGTAAATAGTCTGGTATTGCTATTGGCACGGGGTTTCTTTTTTATTTGGGATCGGTTTCTGTTCTTGCTGATGCGGATAAACTCGTGCTACGGCGCTTGGCCTCTACGAACATTGCAGTTCAAGGGGGCTGTCCCGCGCGGCTGGGAATTCGGTGCTCTCCTTTGTTCGCGTTGGCCAGGGCAGAACGCGGCTCCAAGACTTTTCGAAGTTAGGTCGCTGTGCTATACCTGGCCACGGGCATTTGTGTTTTAGCCTAAGGTAAAAGCTAACATGTTTGAAAAATAACAATGCTGGCGAGCCTGCCCGATTGCAGCCCTGCATCGTTTCAATATTACAAGAAAGGACAGGGTGGTGCATTTGACACTTCATTGCGCCCGCAAATCGAAGCGATTAGGCATCGTTAGCAAAAGCAGCTACAAAGAACTTTGCCTAGTCGATCAGTCACCAACAAATCTATTGTCCGGGGTGACGCGAGTCAGCTTGGTATGTGGACATCCGTGTTCACATTAAGCGGAGTCGTGGAACTATTTTCACAATAACTTCGCGAGCCGAGCCAGTGCGACGCACGTGACTCACGGCAGAAAAGACATCTTTGTCCCTGCCTCTTTTTTATTTCTGGGTCCTTGAGCACCCAGGGATTGGTCGAGTGTCCTCAGTTGGACGGCTCGACCTTACTCGGAATTTCCGAGGTTTCTTGGGGAAAGAAACGGGAGAGGGGGCAGAGCGCAGGTTGCATTCCAGTACCAGGCGGGTGTGAGTCATGGCGCGGCCCACGAGGGGGACAACAATGCCGGGGCAGCGTCATCATTCGCCTGGGGCAACGTCATCATCGCCGAGGCTGCCTGTCCCCCTGCCGGCCCGAAAGACTTGGTCACTTCCGCTGTGATCAAGATGGCGTCATGTGTCCTCCTGCTGCCTGGTTCCGTCTCCAACCATGGGAACCTGGAGCTGGGGCTTCGCTGCCATTCATTGGGCTTTCAGTGTCATTCCCCGATACACTTCGCCGTCACGGCGACCCTGCTGCTGCCCCAATCTGCGGATTCCCGTCCCGATGCCTGGAGCCCGCCTGCAAGCCACATGCAATGCGGGTGGGCGCTCGTGCCGACGCTAACGACGGGGCGCGTCGTCAGGGTACGCTTCGGCGTCGTCATTCCTGGACTTCGGCCAAGACATCGTCCTGTCCCTGCGCCATGGTGAGCCACGGACTTCAGCGCCGGGAGCGTCCCCGAAGATTTTTTCATTTGTCAACCCTAGCATGTGGGGGTCGGTACCGGACGCGGTAGTTTTTTTTCGGTTTCGTTTTTTTTTTTTTAATTTTGTTTTTGAGAGCCGGTAGGCCGTTTTATTTTTTTGGCCTACCTTAGCCTTGAGAAGGGGGGAGTGTGGGAACCATGGGGTTCCCTCTATCCCTATCCAGGCCTAGCTTCGAGCAGGCCGTGGGAGCCGTCGTCACCAATGGCGTCGGCCTCCCGGATACAAGGAACCACGAGGCCGAATTCCCCGAAGGGGCCGGCTCTCCCTTGCCCATTTGGGTGAACGCGCCTTCGGCGCACCCTTGAGAGCTATGATGGACGCGACTGCTAGTGGCCTCCCCGGGCGCGTCCATTCTCCGAGGCTACATAAGCTGGCCCCGAAGGTGGGCCAGGGGCTCTCGTCGGCGGAGGCCCTGGCTCTACGGAGCTCGGTTTTTCTTTGTGGGCCTCCGACTTCCCGTGAATCTGTCTAATGCGGCAGCGCGGGAAACCGACCGGGTGATACTGGCAATTGAGCCAGCGCCCAGACTTTTCATTGTCTAAGAGCGAAGCGTGTTGGCATTGCAGTCAATAAACACGTCTTTATCCGGACCCATGGAGCCTTCTTCTGTGTTGCTAAGTGGTGACAGCCCCAAAAGGGCGAATCCCACAGTCTCGAATTTCTTAGCTCTCACTTCATCATGGTGGAGGTACTATTATCCAGTTAAGAAATCAGGGCCTCCCGCTTTGTTGCCAAACCTGCAAATCTCAAGACTTAACCACTTGATTTGTTCTTGTTTGCTTAGTAATTATATCCGCCTTAATTTAAATTTCCGTGCAGATACGGATGTTATTTTTTTTAATATTCCACTCAAATATTGTTTAGATATTACCAATTTCCGAAAGTGTATACCTATTTCGCCCATTATAATAAAGCCAAACAAAATACAGTTCCAGTCACGCTTATCCTTCATTTGCAATATGCATCATACTTCTATAACAGAAAGATTTTCTCACCTCTTGCTCGTAATCTGTCTTCTGGGAACCCTTGAGCATATCCGCAAGCTCCAAAGAGTGTTCTTTATACATATGATCCTAAAAAGGACAAAGTGAGAATTGAACTAAATAACAAATTCTCTTTAACATCCGTTTTAAAAACAGGTTTTGGGGGGTTTGGTTGTTACAATACAAAACAAATGTCCCACCGGCTAAGGTGGAAATTAATTATGCGCAACAATTGTCAGCCACTCCACTCTATGAAGGTGGTAAGCCAGCGAAGTTGTAGAGCACCACCGCAATTGATTCACCAAGAGGCATCAAGACACACGCTTCACCAAATGTTTATTTACAGTATATATACATCATTTTGAAACGGTAGAGATTGTTGCTTTGTGACCACTATGAAATACACTAGTGGGTTTCGTTACATCTTGGGTGAGATTCTTTGCTGAAGTTAAATCTATACATATAATGCTTTTAAAGCAGTGACGTCACCCGACTAGAGCGGGAGAAGGCCCATTGTTCTCGAATGTACCTTCATTATCACACGTTTCGACGTCTTTCCTTATCAAAATGCATAACGAGTTGACGCGGCCTTTACGCATTTCCATACAATGAAGCGCTTTTACATGAAATCTTTCTGCACGTGGATACCAAAAATTCATAGAACCCTAGAGATATACAACTTCGCTGTAAAACACGTCCGTACCTTACGAACGCACACAAAATTTTGTGGGTTGATGTGTGCCTAAATAAAACTAACATTTCTATACCTCCAATCAATGATTCAAAAAGCCCTTCCGAAAGTCGCGTGTTTAGTATTAGAACGTTGAAACCACTGTAGACTGACATTGTAGAACGTGGAAGTCATTCCATAATATAGCAAACGTCGGAGTGCAGCCAACGCTATAGTCGGGGACAGGTTAAGAGCAAGTACAAATTTTTCCTACCTCGTTTCACTTTAGCAGAGCGAATGGTGAAATAGAGGTCGCTTCTTCTCCAGCATTCGCTCCGCTTAATCGGAATGAGGTGGGTGTGTTTTAACCATCTAATTCAACCAAACGCATGAAGTGTGCCGTGACGTTGCGTTTTATTTTTTATTTTTATTTTTGCCTGCCATTGCGCAGGGATTCTACAGCTGCCAACACCGAGCAATCTTTCGGAAGGGGTCTATTGAACTCAATCGAACTTTAATTCAATTCAGGAAGAGATTAAATTACTGAGATTATTTTTTTCCTGCGGGTCAAATTTCTAAAAAGACGCGCCGGCCTTTTCACGCTCTCTGGCTATAGCAAACTTAATGCATATCTTTTTTTTATTTGTTTATATAGTTTGTGAGAAGACCATCACGCCATACTACCTCTGGAAAGCCTTCCAGCATCGTACGGGTCATAACCTAAATGTAAAGTGTGCGAAAGCAAGATGCGACACTTCTCATCACTTTTTTTTTCACGTATTTCAATTAAATTGAACTTCTTATCGCCGCTGCTATTGCTCGCGAGAACAAGTTTACAATACTTTCACGCTATATCAAATTTTACGTTGTAAGCCATATTTAAGTAACATCTCCAATAAATTATTTAAAGGAGCTGTGCAACAATTCCAGTGTTTTGCTTAAATAATTTGTGAGTTGGTGTCTCGAAATTCCTGAAGTAAAAAAAAAACGCTTTTGCCTGCATGCTCTAGTTTTTATGTTAAAAATTGACAAAAATTGAGGGTTTTCGGCACCCCTCAACTCCTTCACCATCTACCGAGTCGCGTGCGCTGAGATGTGAAAGGAGGATGCGCGGGGTTTTGGTGAAACTTCTTCTCTAGAGCTATGAGTGAGCAGCGAGAACTCACCTGCTCGCGACCACGTGACCTAGTGTTTGAGGAGCGCGATCAACATGACGAAAGTCTCGTCCGGGTCCTGCCACCCCCGTCCGGCTCTGCCCCCTTCCCCCTCCGACTTCTGTCGGCTGTTCACGGTAGCAGATAGAGCTGACGGTTTTTTTTTTACCTCAGATATATGGCGCCACTAAAACTGCGTAAAATAAAAGGTTTGTCGATGGTATCACGTTTTTCAAGCATTTATATTTATGTTGGAACGACAAGGTTCATAGAAAAGTTACCTGTTATCGAACAGGTATTTGCACAACTTCCTATATTTTTACAAGTCCTCCATGGACGTCACGCCGCGTGTTTCTTATGGCCGCCACTCGAGGCTGCAGGTCTAAAAATATTATAATTTTTGCTTCGCGATTACGCGGCGAAAATGCAACATTTCGAAGAAAGGAGTTGTGTTTTCTGTTCATTGTGACAAGATAAAAGGTGTCAAAAGTAGAAGACGCAAATTCTTTCAGCGTTAAAATCGTTGCACAGCTCCTTTAATGGATACATAAATAGATATAACTTTTTTAAATATCTAATCTGCCTCGAGTTGGGGGCATTTCTGTGCTAGCATTTGTATTAGTAAACACTTTTTTTTTAAACTACATTTTGGGGCACAAAAGCGTTGTTTTTTTTTGTGACGTTTTCTATATTTATATAGTTTTATTGGCAAAAATGGACATCACGTTTATGCTATTCCGATTATGACCGATTCTTGCAATGGTTTCACGACTTACCTTTAAGTTCAAGAAATCTTCGTTAGATCCGCAAAACAGACACAGAATCCTAAGTTTCCTGGCAGCATTATTTGTTTGCCCAACTGCATTCCGTAGCTGAAATCAAAGGACAGATATTAACTGTTTTAATTATCTACGCATATGTATCACATACTGCTTTGCTGCACTTGCAGTACGGCAGGCATGGTGTCAGAATAAAAAGCACCACTCTTGTGGGTGGAATCTGCGGTAACAGTTTTTGCTAAACAGGGATCTGCAACACCACAAGAAGAAGATACCTTCTGCAGGGTTAAGCAATGTCTACGTTTAATATACCATTCATAAGGAAGGCATGAAATTCCTCATTATTAACAGACCATATTTTAATCAAATGCAACGCCTCTCAAAACAGTCTTGTGCGATAACACGGATTACTCTAACGTCGTTACCTCTAAGTAACAACGTTGCAGCATTCTTATTGATGCTTGGATAATGTAGAAAAGGTATATTCGGATGAAAACCGAGCTCCGACTTGAATGATTAGTGGGTCGTCGCAAAGCTGTCTGTCCGTCTCCATACGTGTTAGAATGCCGAATACCGGCATCCGGCGTTCTTGTTTGATTCTGTTCGAACAGTGAATGGACACAAATGCAGCTAGCTTTGCGCCTGCCGCTAATGACTCCGGTCAGAGTTCGGTGCTCTGACGGTTACCGCGCGTCTTCGTTTCTTTCTTTCGGTTTCTGACCGTATAGGAGAATCTTTAGTTTTTAATTTTTTTTTTCGTGCCTACCCGTGTTTTTTCTTTTTCGCAATCTCAATTATAAACAAAAAATACCACGTCATCGTACCCACCGCCTCGGCTGTTACGTGGCCGCGATGAGAGTGGCAAACGAAATCTGTTTCTTTGCAATCTCTGCAGAGTCCATGTCCTTGGCATTTATTTTCCAGAGGATATATCGTATTGGAGACACAGCCACATCCGTGACACCTGATCTTGTCTGGAGTACTTGTCCCGTGGATGTAGTACTCTTTGCTTGACCATTCTATTTGTTCCACTTTGAAAGTCACGCTCTTTTTCCTGGAACTGAAAAACTTCGACATCAGTTCTTCGGTAGGCTCTATAAAAAAATTCCAGGATGTTAAGTTTTTATTTATTTCTTAAGACCTTCGGCGTAGAATTTAAATTACCTTACAGTCATCACGAGATGTTGCGAGGGCGCAGAAATCACTTTACTGTGTTATGCCATGGAACGCGCAATCAAAGTAACGAATATGAAAGAATTCAAGGCGCCCCGTGTTTTTACTGCCCCTTAAATTTACGTGCGTACACTGTACACTGGTCTTTTACCAGAGTCGTGCTTAAAAATATAAAGGACGCTATCGTTTGCATGCATCAAGAGTCGCCATATGATCACTTATCGAATAGACTTAAAGTATTAGCTAACTTTCTATATATTCCTTTCTAGGTTCGTAACTAGCCGTTATGGTAAACCGATCTAATGAGAAAAAAAAAAAACTGAGCGAGAATTATATTGGCTTTGAGATGTCGATAATTCTGTTCTCGTGTCATTTGTGTAGTGCTAAGCTTGGTTAGGGCCAAAGTGCATCGTCATGGCGCACAGCGTCTTTGCGATCGCTGTTTTTATGCGCGATTGGTTTAGCCTAGAGTAACGCATTCCTTTTCTTTTTCCGTTTTGACGACAACATACTCACTCTAGCGAATCATGTTTTGTTTGATGAGCATTATTGGACGGTAGCAATCACATGACACAAGCACAGTTAGACTCACCTCCATCAGCGCTTCAAGCGGCTCGAACCGCCACCATCTTGGGTCCAGCAAACAATGGACCTTTTCCAAATACCGAAGGCACCAGGCGGTGGCTCCCCGAACTAAAAATCGACGAAGTGACCTACCTGCGCTACCAATCAATAATAGGAGCTACGCTACCAGTTGCTTCGCACTCCGAGCTGCGTCGCGTGCCCAACGTTGGCCCAACGCAACTTTAAAGAGGGAAATCCGTAGCGTCCACCCAAACGTCGTGTTTTTTTTTTTTCCGTCCGCTTTCTTTTTTTTTTTTGTGTAACACAATTATATATATGCTGCAATTATGTGTTCTACTCGTCGATCTACAGCCTCATTCCAAATTTCCTCGATTTTTCGTGCCGACTTCCACCGCTTGGCATCGGGCGCTCGCGCGTGCGCAGAACGCTTCTCGGAAAAGGTCCATTGCTCATCGAAGGCGCGTTTACGCGCCATCTTTTCCACGCGGTTACCGACGTCAAAGACAAGGAGGTTGTGTACTTAACGGCACAATGCCTGCTTGTAGCGCTTTCGGGTGTAGCAGCAGATTGGAGGATGGAAAGAGGCCCTTCCGGACGCCGTTTGTAAAGAACGCAACTGCAAGACGGAGGAAGAATGCTTGGATAGCCATAGTAAAACGGAACGAGTTCGAGCTCACTGCAACGATTAAACTTTGTGAGGTGAGTGCCGATTGCAGCTGGTTCATTCCGCGAATCGCGGAATGAACCAGCTCCCTCAACACGCTCGAATTCATTTCACTGCCTTCATACCTCCGTCGACGCGTGGACCCAAGATGGCGGCGCCATGGTTTCGGTTTCAGCACCGCACCGCGGTTCTAGAACGAACCTTCGGAGTTTTGTTACTCTGGGAACCCCACACAGTGACTCTATATAGTTTAGCCGTGATAGCGAAACGCACAAAGACGACGCCGAGTGCCGTGACGTGGCACTTTTTTGGCGCTGCTTGATTGCTTTCATTGAATCGTGGCACCGGTTGCGCTAGGGTCTTGTCGTAAAACCGAGCTATTGAAACCTAAATGCAAAAGCGGGGCAGGAAGCCGTCTCCAGACAGATTATTATTATTATTATTTATGTATTCGGCCATGGTTATCACTCCTTCGTAATTTCGATTGACTGCAGTCTGCCCTTTCGTCAACGTCACGCTGTTGGGATAGCAACGAGTGTGGTTAATCATTCTAGGCGTCACAGGCAGGATATGGGCCGCCGGTTCGGAGTGTAAATTCAAAATCAAGCAGCAAAAAAAAAAGAAAGGGGGGGGGGGGAAATATGGGTCTATAAATATCGCAAAAACACTCGCAATATTCTTGCAAACTGTTTCAATTATTTGATTCGCTCGCTAACGACTGCCGTCAAAATTGAAAACGCTGCTGTTGCAGTTTGTTGCAGTTTTAATTTGAAAAAACCCTACTTCCCCCCCCCCCGCCCCCCCCCCCCCCCCCCAAAAAAATAAGAAGAAAGACATCATTTAAGATGTTTCGCGTGGAATAGCGATGCGTTAGTATATTTTGTTTTGGTATAGTTTTCTTTGTATGTGCCACCAGGATCTGACCGACTAGTTATTCTGGAGCACAAAAGAAATAAAGCATTGCTAATATTTTTGTTAATTATTGCTACATTGTGACAGTGACGTAGACTGACGCACTTGAACATATACGCATTCCTGCGTAATTCACTGGGCATAGCTAGAACATCGAATGGGTTATGCAAGGTCCAATGCATGCTAAGATAACACTAAGGTCTCTTTTATCTAACAAATCAATACGCTAAAAAAGTACTCGAATATTGTAAAAATAGGTTCGCACAAATTCAAACGGATTGCTGTCGTCTACATGTCTTCTAACATGGTGCGAAGCAAGACCCTATCATACCTGGCCCCAGCACTCAATGAAAAACGCCCCCAACAAAACGTTTTATGACTAAAGGCGACAAGAGGCGACCATCGATGGCATTTATGTTCCACAATAGTTTACGAGAAAAACAAAACTAGTATCGAACTGTAGAGGCTGGCCGCCCCCTCAAAGTTGGTTCCAACAGCTATTATGGAGGCACCGTCACAGCCCAACTTTATTACCTGTGGTAACGCACTGCACTTCTATACGACACTTGCTTTGTCACAAGAATAGTAAATGACTCCTCTTTTATGTATCTACGCTGGAAGGCCACGCCCAGTACACATATCGTGTGACTATCGTTAAAATATCACGACATTAACGAACCACAAACAACCTTTCTTACCCCCTTTTGAAACCCTGACTAAAACTGTATCCTCTTCCCGACACAAAAACGTAGTACACAAAAAGTTACTTACGCCCTCGAACGTCCCTTGGAAGCCATTTTAGGCACTGCACGAAACAGGAAGTTGTCTGACGCCGCCTCCCTCCTCGACTGACGCTCTTATCAAAGCTGTGATAACGCGAAAGCAAAGGCCGCGGAAGCCAACTGGATCAACTCAGTTGCGGGCACCGTGGTTCCGGAACTTTCGCGAATAAACGAACCCCCCCTCTCCTTCCAATGGTCGCCATCAGTCGATCGCAGCGCCATCCACAATGTGTGATTCAATACTGTAATCTTCGGAGACTCTAGAATACCCAAATGGCGGAGCCAGACTATCGCCTTTCTTTTCCATTCGCCACCAACTCCTCATTGGCGGAGAAAGGGTCGCATGCGCTAAATGTGACTACTTCGCTCGAGGCGAAGCCGCTTGATGTAGCGCCGTGTTTGGGGCATACGTTTCGCTTTCCGCTAACGAAATGCAGATCTTGTACAGAAGTATGACGACTCGCAGAAAGTTTTTTTAACCTTTGAACATTGTGTGTGCCACCTAGATATCTGTGACTGCGTTATTTTTATAACGCGAGCGTAGTTTCAAAGCGTCTGTGAGCAAGCAGACGACACGAGAGCCACGACGACCAAGCCAGGGCACGAGCGCTTTTGTGGAATCCGAGAGGCGCACGACGGTGCATAGGTGGTGAACCGCGCCTCATGTCAACGCGGCCGTCGCATGTCCTGCATGTGCGAAGTTCGCTTCTCTCGTAATACTTAAAAGTAAAAGTCTCTGACCGTTGCGATAGCCTGCTCCACAAGCGGAACATAAACAGTTACTCCAGGAGACGTTACGTTTAACCGCCATCAACAGGCTGAGCTTCCTTGATATGTTACAGAGTAGACTGTAGTCACCATAGCAGCCGTCACCAAATCGGTGGCGCGTAAAGCGATAAGGGGCGAACCTTGGGGGGAGAAACGGGTGCTGCTAGCAGAAGCAGCGTCCATGGGCAGTGCCGTAACTGCATTGATCTAGTTACGCTGGCGGATGCACACCAAGGTCCCTATCAAAACAGACGATTGATGTATGCGAGATTCAATAGTGTCACCCTGAGGCTTCACGCAAAATGAACAATGCGCAAACGTTTTTTTTTTAGCTTTAAGAATTTTGCAGTCTTGCGAGGTTCAAGCTATTTTGAGTATGTAAATTATTTTGTCGCATTTGTTTTCTTTTTTGTTTGCTTTCATGGCTCATTGTGCAGTAGCATTAAGGATTATTGAAAATGTACGGTTGCCCTGGAACTACGTCATGGCTTCTATTACGAACCCAGTTAATACGGACATCCCGATATAAAGACACCATTTTCGGAGTCAAACTAGATAAATACACGCACTTTTGTCACGGTATTATGGAAACCTCGCATTGTGGGTACTTTCGTGGGGTGCCTGGAAAACAAACACCAACGGCTCATTACTTATCTGACTTTTTACGACTTTATAGACCAATACGCGGCTCTGAGCTTTGACGTCACGCCTCTGCGGTGGCGCTGTTGTCGCCACGGCGCATGAGCAGAAAGCTTCACCTCACGCGAATCTGGTGTCTGCGCTCGCGCAGTGCCCACACCTGGTGTGGGCAAGCGCGGGCATGTTTGTAAACAGAGTGTCGGTCTTTACGTGATAGTTTGTCACCCAGCAACAGCGCGATCTTTAGATATCTGCGGTCGTGATGTACTCTAGGGGGTACCTTTCTGCGGGGGATGTATCAAGCAGCAATAAGAAATATAGACCGCCCGAATAGCGAGACTATTGAACATCTCAACCAATAATCATTGCTCAACTGTTATCATGCGCGTTAGGAGTGCCCTGTTGACGTTAATTGCTTTCTAAAGTCAGTTGACTCACACAGTTGTTTTAGAGCGCAGCTCTTAAACCCCCGTTTCCGGGTTTCGCGACGTCGGTGTTGGCGTAGCCGCCCCGCTAAATTTAGCGGAAAATTGAATTGGTGTTGAGGTCACGTGATGTCGATTTTTCCGCTAAATTTAGCGGGGATAATGAAGTCACATGACTTTTGTCACGTCACCCATTAACAAATTCAGTTTCTCCACTGGATTTAGCGGCAAAAATGCCGTCACGTGACCTCAGCACCAATCTGAATTGTACGGAGGAGCAGGGGCATACCCTCCCCTCCGCACCCCCCCCCCCCCCCCAGTCCTCCTCAAAAGCTGCCCTCTAATTTCACGTTACTGAGATTTGTAAGCCCCTTTTAGTTTTCCTTACTCGGGTTTTATAAAAACTGGGTCACTCGGGAATTGCTCAAGAAATGCACATAAGACCACCTTTGCTTCGCCAGCATTTTCGAGCGCGGCTCTTAGGCGCCCGTTTGCGGGTTGAGCCGCGTCAACGTCGCCGTCGCCGTCGGCGTAACCGCGCTAAATTTAGCGGGAAAATTGACGTCACGTGACCTCAACACCAATTCAATTACCCGCTAAACTTAGCAGGGAATTGAATTGATGTTGAAGTTACGTGGCGTCAGTATCTTATCTAAATTTAGCGGGGAAACTGTGGGAGGAAAGGAGATATGGAGGAGGAGAATGGGAGGGTATGGAGGAGGATGGGAAGGTACGGAGGAGGAGGAGGGGAAGGTATGGAAGAGGAGGAATGGAGGAGGATGGAAAAAGGAGGATGATGAGGAAGAAAGGAGGAGGAATAGGAGAAAAAGAAGGGAGGGGAGAGGATGGAAAGAGGAGGAGGAGGAAAAGAGGAGAAGAAAAGGAGGGGGAGGGGGAGGAGGCGAGTAGGAGGTGAATACTCTCCCCTCCTCCTCCTCAAGAGCTGCGGTCTAAGTTCGTGTTACCGAGATTTGTAAACATATCTAATTTTTCATTTCGATGATTAAAAAATGTTAAAATTCTCCTATTACATTTCACTGCTTACCTGATAACACTGACATCAACTCCAACTCTTTATCGTAGCATCACGCTTCGCCAAGAAATATTCGTCATCAAATGTACAGTATCCACCAGTATAAAAGAGTCAGTAATAATTCATTTGTTTATTGTATTAAAACAATAAAAACATGGCAACACACTGTTGCACAGTACTAATCGGCAACTATTAAATGCTGAATTCGTACAGACGTGCACGCTCTTTTTTGTTTCTAGATGAGGGGTCTTCAAACCTCGGCCCGTGGGTCATATCAGGCCCTCAGAGGCAATCCGACCAACCCGCGACAGATTGCAGTCTTTGCAGTGACGCCCGGCCCATGGCCCACTTCTAACTAAAAACGCGGGCGCCAAACAAAGAAACACACACAAGAAAAGCGCGAAAACAAACGGTTTTCCGAAGCGCACAAAACACACTAAAAATAAACTAGAAAGAACGAGGGAACTGCAACCTGAAGCGGGTCCTCTAGTTCGAAATGTTTATTCACATTGTCATCAGCATCAAGTCTTTAGTCCCCTGTTTAATACCTGTGAAACGTTAAAATTCCTTTGCGGTCTCTTGTATACCGTAGTTAGTGCCTTGCGTAAGAACTATAGTACATTGTCGCAATCAGTTCTACCGTTCTCCTTGGTTTTTTGCACCATCTGAACAGGCCAAAGCTGGCATGCTCCTTGATTTCTTGAATTTAATATTAAATCGCCAACTTATGTGCGGACGAAATTAGCGTCCGCTCCGACCACTAGCCAGGTCGTCCAGCTTGCAGTGTGGTCATGGTGGTTCTGAGCGTCCTCTCCCGTCGTATTTCATACCTTTGGCCGTGGTCCGTGCTAGCTGGTGCCAAAAAGTCAACGGCATGTGTTTTCCGCGTGAACCAGGAGGCCCGTCAGCGTGAAGTATCTTAATTCACCACAAAGCTGCTACTTTCGCGTGAGCGCATCAAAAGACAGATTGAAACACTGAGGGCTCTTGACAACTTTATTTCGTCAAACGTTTTGCTGCCAGAAAAAAAAAAAACAATTGTGGTGCCTCTAAAAAAAATCGAACCATCGCTAGATATTTCGAGAACTTTACACTACCCTTCTTATCGACAATTTTCCTTACACAACATTGCACAGTGCATTTTCTTTTCAGTTTGCGATCATTGACTGGTTCCCACCGAATGCGAATTACGAAGTTTTTCTACGAGGGCGGTGAGCGGCCGTTCCAGGTTCTCGATTCTTTCTTGCAGCCCCTTCAAACAAATTGACAAATGTGAATCATCAGTACCACGCACTTATACTCTCAGAACAGAACGTAAGGGCTCATGTGAGCTAGTGAATACTGAACATTTTGAGGCAACCCGAGCCTTAGGAAAGACGAAAGTTGTCACCGAGAAAAAGATAAATGCTATAGAAATGCTATTTCTCGAAAAGCTGGACCAATCGCTACTGCTGCGAAAAGTGCACACCGAACAGAGAGAAAGTTTATGTCGTATTGGTGTCTACCAAATTGCCTTTTCAGGAAAATGAATAACGTTCGGTTGTGAAAGGTTATCATTACCTTGAAGTAATAAAACTTTTATCAGTAAATTTAAAATTATTTATTGAATTAGAAACTTTATGGGCACCATCAGAAACAACTAGCGGCTAACTCTATAGAGCGAAAAACGACACGAATTTCGCCGGGCCGCGTTCGCTCGCATATGGTTCGGAATAGTTTCTGTCACGTCGCGCGCTAAGCGAACGCTCCACCAGGCGAAGTTTGTTGGTTCTTTGCCGCATAATCGCTCCAGGACAATATGGTATGCAAATTATTTTACGGCGTTTGGAAAAACACTCAATTTGGAAGAGCTTAAATGGTTTTTTTTTTTTATATTTTTATTAAGACACTTGGACAGCGGTCTTGGTCCGCCATGGCCAAAGCGCGCAACCAACCTGTCTCGAAACGTATTCTTCCAATGGTGCAGGTGAACCCAAGGATCAAAGCGTATTCTTTTCTTGTCATTTGAACAGCACAGCGTTTTAGTTCGCCGACTCGCACCACACTTCTCTCTCTACGAGAGAGATAGACGATACGGTAGTCGCGCGCTTGTGTCACGGGTAGCAGAACCTCATCCGCGAACATGCACTCCGACAGAAAACCTAAACCCAGAATACGTTCAAACTGAGTAAAGCCCACTGATTTCGTGGTTTTCGAAGATGCAAGGAAAGAATATAAATCAAACCATTACGTGAAATTTAGTATTTAAGTAGTTTCTTACTGGAACGTTATCAAGAATTTAATTATACCAGACGTGCGTAGGTTCTTTCTATATATGCCTCTCGGCAAACACCTATGTGAAAAAACGCTTTCAGTGCAATGCGTACTTTTCGCGGATGCAATTTGGCCAACGGCTCGCGAAACACCTCGTATACGGGTGCACTAGATACACCACTAACCACCTATACAAGGAACAGAACAAAACAAAAATCATGAGCCATTCCACTCTGTGAAGATGGGTGACCAGCGATGCTGTTTAGCACACGATACAGACGAGGCACAGAATTTCGAACAAAGGTACAAACACATTTATTCTCTTGATCGGTGGTCATTGTGACGAAATGTACGCACACCCACGTCGAGGACCGTCGCCGCCCCGAGGTGCCGGAGAAAAATAGACACGCGCGACGGGACCGCCACCAGGCGGAAGGAAAGGAAACTAGGCTCGCAAGAGTTCGTTACGACGACAAAGAGATGCCGATACGAGCTCTAAGAGTTTTTGTTGACGCACACAAGACTTCCGCGGGAGCCTAACCATAAAGAGCTTGGCTCTCAAAAAAAAAAAAAAAAAAACAGAAAGCGTATACTTACGAGGATAACTTGATTAAGAAGTCCATTGTGGGGGTCCTTTTCATGTTTCAGCATCTCTTTCCTTGGGGCCTTAAAACGGTTGTTGAAAATAGCTTGGAATATGAGCAATATCTAGTGGTTACGCATTAGCAATATAAAAATCGCAAAGAATAGGAAAATAAACTTTGTCCTTGAAAAACTTTCCGGAGAACAACTATACCATCCTATTTTTTCATACACACCCAGCTTAACAGAGTCAGTTGGTTTCCCTAGACATAGTATTTAAAGCGTGCGTGAGTTAAGAAGAAACTCTGTCAAGCCACAACAGTCTGCTTTTTTTTTCTCCCTCCCCCTCTCCCCTGGGGAGAAACAATAAAGTTCAAGTTGAAGTTGAATTTATTTGCAAGCCATAAGATGCTTGTCCTTTATTATTGGTAGGCGCTTTGCCCCATTTGACCCGACAACTAATCTATGCTATATGCTTCGTTAACTACAAACATTTGTGGTGTGCCGACAACCGAAAAACACTATATTTAGCATATACTTTCTCCATAACAAGGCATATTAGTCTAAATTATTTTTACATATTTGTCGGGGTTTAAGGAATGTACGAAAGCTTATCTTCACTCGTATAAACTGAAGGCAAAATGAATGACTAAAAAAGAAATATACTTGTTGGAAATGAATGACAAGAAATATTTGATATATGTATATGCGTGTCTTACTCCACCTGAAGTATTGGCACTATAACACAGGTTTATGTTGCGAAGCACAATATACTTACTTTCTCGTTGCATCCAAACTCTTTAAAAGCACATCCAATCAAAGCGTCTTCGCAGGTTTCAAGGAGCGCGTCTTTCTGCAAGATCATATTTAAGGAGGCTTAGCTATTAGTAGACTTAACAGGCGACATCTTATCTACAGCTTGCCAAAAAAATAAAGTGCCGGGGATTTTTTCACGCAAAAATCATTCGCCGAACGCCCAGTGTCCGGTTAAATAAAATGTAGCGCGAGCGGTCTGTACCAGGCTCCAGCTTCTGAACTAACCATTATCTTAATCAAAAGTTAAGTGATTTTCTGAAACTTTCAATGGGAAAACTGTGCTTATTCTCCGTAGTTTTCGCCATTCAGGTTCGTGTATTCGCTAAATCGCAAATATTTGGTTGTGCTTCTCGAGCAATACGTGGACAGGAAGGGCTACACGACGTTTCGGGCGGACGCCCCTTTTGAAGGGCGTCCGCCCGAAACGTCGTGTTTACCCTCCTGTCCACGTATTTTTTCGAGTAGCACAAGCATATATTTGCGATTTTGTATATAAGCTCATAGTGCTCTGGAGCGCCCCTATTTTCTTGCATACTTCCATGTATTCGTAGGCGTTTTCGGCCACCATTTTACGGTTGTAATTATACTTTTTTTTAACTTAGGCGTCTGTTCCGGATGCCCGCGCTACATTTGGACGGGAAGATGCACCACTTCGTATATTTGCAATTATTTTCAAACAGGCCATATTGTACATTTTTTCTATCGAACATTCTGCGAACACGGGCGCAAAGAAGTATGTCAGCTCTTCAACATATGGTATATATCTATAGTGTGAAGGATATGAAACATTTTCGGGGACACCCTTCATAATATTACCATTATTTGCAAGACGCGAGGAGCTGCCACTCTCGTTTTTTAAATACTTTGGAATTTAAAAACCCGAGTGCCAGCCTGGCGTCTTGCTCAGTAGATGCCCGGTTACTGCCGTGGAGTCACAACACATAATCAAGCAGACGCTCAACGACACGCTCTTCTCCTATAGAAGAAATAGCTACATGAAAAGTATGGATAGCTTGCTCGGTTAGCACGTTCTACAGCACGTGCTGAACAAGCAAGCTATTCAGGCTCTGAGCGTTTCTGCCGAGCAATTCAATATTTGTTTTTCTTTTTATTTATTTTTTTACTTCGGAGCGCCTCCTGGATAGAGCCGTTCACGAGGAGTTCGCGACACGGCGTGAGTTTAATCTTCTCCGTTCTTTTATGTCTCGCTCCCGAAGTTGTGATACTGGAGTTGCCGCGGCACCCAAAACGGCGGTGAGGCGATCGAATCTAGCTCGACGCTGCATCATATCCTGTATTGTTAATTATTCATTATTGTTATTGTTACTGTTATTGTTGTTTTTGTTATTGCTATTGTTATTACAAGGCTATATGCTTAATGCTTTTATTATGAGTTGTGATATTCCGTAAGAACAAAAAACCGCCATTGTAAGGCCCTTGTTCAAAGGTGGAGCAGCAAATCAGATTAAAGACTACCGCCAGATTTCTGTGTTACCGATTCTTGCTTAAATTCTCAAAAAACGTAATTTTCATGTTATGTCGTCATTTGTGGACGTTTTTAACGTAATTTCAACCAGGCTGTTTTTTTGTTTTTTTTTTAGGGGAGTGGAACACACCCATTGCTCCTGTACTTTGCAGATTTGCTACTTTCCGGTTTCGAGAGACAATTTGTTAGCTGCGCTGTCTTTTAGATGTATCGAAAGCATTTGATTCCATTAGCCATTCACTCCTACTAAAGAAGTTATATTGTTTTGAGTTTTGTGGTCTGTTTTTTCTTTTTTTTATTTATTTCAAGCTACCTTACAAAATCGCTCACAACGTGTTATTGCAGCAGAGTCGCGAGGCCCACGAAAAACGCTGAGAGCAATGGTGCCTCCACATCGGTTTAATTTGTTGGTTAATGATATTCATACATTTATTTCTGAAGCAGAACTCTATTAATATGCAGACGATACTGTCATTGTCACGCGTCATATTAATTACGAAGATGCTGCCCGATCAATGCAATGCACTGAGACGGTCATGAAATCGTTTCAACAAAATCTTAGCGCCATTGATGTAAATAAGATAAAAATATTTTTCCTCTTAAATACGTGCGACTGAATTTCTTCCTTATCTTAGATCACTCAAAATGCGTATCTTGCAAACGTCTTGCTTTTTTATATCTTGAAAGTTTAAAATACCTTGACATTGTTTTTGACTGTAGTTTAACCTGGAGTATTCAACTGATATCTCTTTGTGCAAAACTGAGCAGTGCCTGTTGCCTGTTATAACAGACCACTTATGCCTTTTCAGTACGTAATTTAATCATTCATGCGCTTGCATACAGTGTATTAACATACAAGGTTACGGTGTTTGGACAATGTTCCAGCTACTGGCATGTCGAGATGGATTGTATTTAAAAAAAATATATATACTGAAAATGATTTCGATGGAATGCTAATTTCTGGCGGTTCTGTCTTGTTTAACTATTTAATATTGCCACGTCCTCTGAGCACTATTTATTCAAACCGTTGTCCTACGCCACTTTTGGTCAGTGATTTAAACACCAAAGACCCTTCACTTCGAACGCTCCGTTTTCAATATACTTTCAAATATTCCTTTGTCCGGACTTAAAGCGGCAGCCCACACGCGAATATTATGTACGAGATGTCGTCAATAATTTGCGTTCTAAAATTCTGCAGGCTAACTGGCTGAGACTGCGTTCATTGTTGGGATAACTCTGAACATAAGCCTTCGCGAGGGCGACCACGTTTGGCCTTGGAGGAGCTGCTATTTTCGTATACTACTCTCTTTTCTTTCTCTCCCTAAGCTGAAAGCGTGGAACAGGCTATGCAGTCGTCGGACCGATGAACCGGAGGCTTTTTTATGCTTTGACTTTGAGTCCGCTATCTGGGCGCGGGTAATGGCAGGAGCGTGATCATGTGGCAAAGGTTTCACGGGTGACGTAGTACTATAGTAGCTCTTTCCGATTCGGGAATGTCTGATTCCCGGCCTAGTTTCTTGTGTGCTGTGCTGCGACCAGCGAGGCTGCCAGAGATTTCGTCCGTGACAACGTATTCGAGTGTACCAAGGCTTCCAGTGTTTAAAAAGTCCAACGTACATCGGCAACAAGCGATTTCTTCAAAAAAGCCTAAGGAATTCATGTGTGTGCGTTTATTATTCGGTTTGGCAAATTACTTCTTCTGCCACATTGTGTTGAATCTTCACAAACCCCTTTCTTTCCGTGTTTGTGTTTGTGTGGTTCTGCAGTGCCCGTGTCAACATCTATCTGGGATTGCATATTTCAAGTCCGATATTTTCATCGTAAGTGCGCTGCAACCTACTCCTTTGCAGCAATCGACCGTTCCGTTCCTGATTACGTCTAAAATTAGGCAGTGTCTATTTTCTAGCAGCCGGGAGAATAATTTCCCCGAAATTCTATCGGCAGTCGCCTGCCATTAGCTGTCTACAACCATGTGATAACTCCAGGTGACTGTCTTATTCTCCCGGCGTTTTGTGAGCACGCGTTTCATGAACACCTTTTCGTTGATACATGTTTCGTCGACACTAACGTTTCATTGTTACTCGTTACGCGAAATACACGCTGTAGGGACATTTCGTCGTGCGTGTCTCTGAGGCGCGCGCTCACCGACCCAGCCCACCCGTTCACGTCGCTTCGTGGCGACAGTATGCGGCGGCTCATTAAAAAAAATGTTCACCCTACCTGTGATACCCGTACATATCACCTCGCGCATATAGCCTGAAACGGCTCATTACAAAAAAAAGAGAGAGAGATGTTTATAGAGGAAAGCTAACCTGAGCTGTCGATGACACGTCGTTCAAAGTGATTATATCGCCAATGAGTGACGACTGCCGGCACGATTTCGGGTAAATAATTCTGCCGGCTGCTGAGACAATAGACACTACCTAAGAATCACCCCGGTTCTTGTTTGCTCAGTAATCTTCTCAGTTGTGTAACAGCTTCGTTGTACATCTTCACATATCACAGATTGCTTGCACGTTTGTACTTGTTTACGGAATTGTCTGTCTAATAAACTTATAGGAGATTTGAAAACAATCCGTTGTGTCTGTTTACCGGCCTTTTTGCAACCACCTGGGCGCGAACATTTTTTACAAGTTTCCTTGAGGTGGGTGCACAAAGAGGTGTAATGGTACATCATTGAATGAGGTGTATACATGCTCCATATGAGCGGGGTGGGTGTAAAAACGGTGTAATAGAAAACCCTGTTGGCGGGTGTATCTCTGTTCCCTATGAGCGAGGTGGGTGTAAACAACGGATGTGGGGATTCCTCTGGTCTCCCTTCCCCGATGGCTGCGATAACGGCCGCGGGTCGGAACGCTCGGCCTTCTTCGCCGTGAGCTCCGACCTGTTCGTGAGACGGAGGGCCGCCTGGCTTGGGGGGCTCTCCTCTCACTCTCTCCCGGGGGGACCTCTTTCCGTTTCCCCGCTCGGATGCGAATCACTGCCGACAAGCGAGGAGGTTTCGCCTCTTGTTTTCCCGCTTTCGGGAAAGGGACTCGTCCGGGTGACCGCGAGAGAGATAGGACGTGTGTCGGCGACTTCTCCGATGCTTCCCCGGTCTTGGCTCTCCGGAACCCCGCGTCTGGCCAGGTAAGGACCTTTTCTTACCTTGCCGGCGCGGGGGGCATTTTGGATGGGGACATAGTAGTTCATATTAAGAGTGTTCTAATAAATGCTCTTGGACTCTGTCCTTACTCTGGTACGTGTGTCTTCTCTTCCGCTATATTCGAGAGAGTGAGACAAGGTAGACGATCATTGGCACCGACGGAGGTAATTAATCGAACCGACCCGCGGTAATGTAGCCCTAAACGTTGTCTACATTGCCGCGGAGATGTGGGGACCGCGGGCTACTAGGTTTGACGTCTCCTTTGAGATATCGCCGCTGTTGAGACAACCCTTTGGTTACTCTATCGGTACCTGTGTTGGTAGCTAGCAACATCCCACACGGTGTAATAGCAAACAGTGTTGATGGGTGTAGAGAAGGGAATACTTGTACACCTTAAATTGGGGTGTACCTGCACACCAAAATGACAGTGAGGGTGTAAGAAAGGAGTAATGACACACCCCAGCATGGGGTGTATCTGTGAACCCCCAAATGCTGAAGGTGTATAAAAGGGTGCACACATACACCCCTAAAGAGGGTGTATATATATATACCTCGTTTTGACGTGTACTTCTACACCTTTATGGGTGTAGTATATGTGGCAGCACTTACACCCCCTGTGGGTGTACCCACTACACCCTTTTTTTTAGAGTGAACGATCTGTCCACGATCGAAACGTTGATTTATGAAATGGCGTCTGCCAACTGGAAGTGACTGCAGGTAGAATTTTGGAACAATTATTATCTTTAATGCCGGAAGAATAGACACTTTCTTTTAACATCGTACACCAAGAATCAAGCCAATAGTCCGCTTTGAAATTTAGAACCCATACTCACTTCATCATCGTTTTTCAGTTCCAATTCGCAGTACTCGCAAGCAAGTTTCTTTTTTTCACACTGCTCCCTGTGCTCCTGCAATTAAATATACAGATCAGGTTATCAAGAAGAATATAAAGAATCAACTAGAATCATCAATGTCACCTTGTCTCTAAAACAAAACGAAGAGCTTCTAGCGCTACCAGTTCATTTAATTTCTTGTGTACAAACTTAACTTTAAAATACGGCGGTCAAGGCACCGACTTGTTGTAGAACTAAATATTTTCGTTTTATTTACTTCTTTGTTGCTTTCAAGCAGAGCTACATTGCTGCTACCTTTATGATATCAATACAGACCGACGAACACTGCATTCTTATATAAATGGATGTATCATTTGAAAACGCTATACACAATAGAAACTATAAATATTTCGAGCAAGCAGTTATTATCTTCATATCGTTTTACTTATTTTGAAGTGAGTAATTGATTAGTAAGCCTTATCATTCGATTCTAATAACATAAAATATATTACAACGAATGACGCCTCTACATTAAAAGCTTTTTTTACCGACAGTGTTTGTTTTTTTGGAGAGCAATCACTCGCTAAAATTGATTCGAGACTATAATGTGTCAACATTGCATTACGTCATCATTGACTAGGCTGTAAGAAAAGATAGGTTGCTCGGCCTTACTACAACAATAAATGGGAAACGAAAATATTTTTTCAGGTGTATGAAGTATCCGTGGTTAATATTTTAGACTCAAGCGCGAGTGTAACAAGTTAGAGACAATAATTAAATATACCACCATCCTTCACACTTCAGCTGAATTTTTTTTTTAAATATATATTTTAGCTTTTAAATGTAAAGCGTTGTCTTTTGTATAGCTTACGCCGCAACATAAAAACATTTAAAGAAAGCCAAAAATTACAATAAGTACCACTTCCTGAACTCAAATGAAACCACCGAACCATGTTGTGTTATGACAGATTTTTGTCTGTATTTCCTACCGTGATCTCACTCTTCTTTTTGACGCATTGTAGAAATTGTGGTGTCTAGAATCAGCGACCACACAATTAATAAACCCCACTGATATCGCCTTCACTTTAGAATCGTAAAAGTTTAAACAAAGATGTACGTTAAAAAACATATATCAAAAATATGTAAACATACATTAAGATCTATTTGAAGTATATACCTTTCCAAAAAATCGACTTCTGCGCGCTGCCATCTTTGTCTGCTGGGCTGTGGAACGCCTTCTGAGCATGCGCTGTTGGTCTGGTGTGTGGTATATCGGACGCTGAGCGTGCGTCCACAGCTCAGTGACTCAGCATTTTTCGCCCGTGTGATGAGCGATGGAAAGATCTATAGATAGTTATCTGGTTATTAGCAGACCTTTTTTGTATTTTGCATTAGCACGTTTTCGGTACAAACCACGTGACTATTACAATCAGTACGAAAACCTACCACGCACAACTATGCGGTACATGGAACGCGCCTTCGACTGGAGTGCTTCCCGCGTCCTAAAAAGTACTCCGTCCACTTCCGCCTGATGACGTCACAGAAGTGTCATGTTGTCGCCGGGCGCGATCCTGGCGGTGTCACAGCAGCGCTTGAGAACATGGCAGACGACTGTTCTGCTGCAGGTTGCTTTCCAGCTTGGCTGTGGCACGGAAGCTTTAGCAGCCAAGAGTTGAATCACCACGAAGCCAGCGACACTCGCCTTCACCCGTACTTTTTCCGTGAATCACCAAACGCCAGCATCGGGACATCCAATAACAAGACAATTTGACTTTTGTGACGTCATTTGTTACTTCTTCGGGAGCGCTTTGGATGTCAGGACAGGATAGGACTCTAGACACACCAGTCCAAGACGCTTTCCAAGGTACCGCAGTACAACCACTCATGAGTTTATTCCTCACCTTTTCTAAAGAGTAGGCGTACAATCCTTCACAGTTCTCGCAGTACACAAGACGCATTTGACACTCGAAGGCATGCTTGAACTTCTCCTTCCGTAGTACCTCACCCTCACAGTGGTCGCAGACCACTGGTTTCTCGAGGCATTCCTGGTCATGATCATTCATATGGTGATAAAAGTATAGAATATGCTAAGTACTACGTGCACTATTTTTCCATACATGCCGGAGTAGGGTAAGAAACTATACATATAATATCGCCTAATTAATGGCAAAGCCGTCTAGACTGTATTTGTCTTTACTAGCTTAGTTTATCATCACGCGCCTTGTATTCGTCTTTGGAACTTACAGCCAATAGCTGTTGTCTAATTATTTTTATAGTGTCTTTTTTTTCGTTTACTCGTATGCAACGAGGCATTTTTTTTGGTAAAGTAATGTAATGTATTCAGTAGTAATAGAATCGATCACAAGATGGTTTGACACGAAACCAAGCTCGTTCAGTTTTTAATGTTTTCTTCTTTGGTTGTCTTCTTCAAACATAGGTATTTTCGCTAGTGGGCTGGTATACATTTTTTATGCGCACGAAAAACAGGGAACAAATTACAAGATAGAAATAGTATCAGCGAATATATTTTGACCAATTATCGTTCTATTCGAGATAAGATATCAAACTATACCCATCAACAGTGCTCTCCGAAATGCAAACGTCTTTAAGACTAGGTATACATATACGGGAAAATAAAAGATCGCTTTTGATTAAAAATGCCGTCAACAAGTTCCACTCAGCGCTAATGTCGATATAAGCAAAATATTAATGTTGAACAAGTCAGTATCACGAACTAAGAACTGTAGGTATACTCCAAATAAAATGAATGTATGTCCCACACCTGGACAATATGCAGTGTGCTTAATTTTATTTCCATCTATTTTCTGTGAAAAGGGGGTGAGAGTCGCATGGCTGCCGTATCAGCACATATTTCTCGTGCTCGACGAACATTATTTGACGGAATACAATTCACTGTAAGTCGGCCACTTAATTTACATCTGCTGATTATATTTTTCAATGTTGTTTCAATGGGGCGCACGGCAATCGCGCTATTGTTGGCAATTACTATTAAAGGCTACACCAATTGAAAAAGTTTGCTAACAGGCAATGGCTTCTGGAGTCAATACTCTGATTAGTTGTCGCGACCTCTCGCCCGATTTTAAAATCGCGCCTAAAAAGAGCGCCCGAAGCTCTGCTCACACTGACGCTTAAAAGAGTCACGTAGTCATCTCACTTACGTTGTCAGTGGGGTTATTCTTTTTTGACCTGTACCAGCCTGCACCGCTGCAGAAAAGTGCGAGTTAATGTACTTCCTTTGTTTTGAGATAGGCTGCACCCTTAAACTGAATACGACGGTCTGCTCAAAGTGCAGCTGGCGCAGGTAAATCGAACGAGGCCACTCTCTCAGTGGCGTGTCTTTGAAGAAGGGGCAGACAACACACTGTTGAAATACTAAGAACCTGACTCATGACTACGTCACTCGTCTGAGCGCCATTGTAAGCTAAGCATCGGGCGCTTTTTCTTTTTTTGGTGCAATTTTGAACCAGTTTTTGTTTTTTGTCTTTTCTTCTTAGTATTATTGGAATCTTTTCTTCGTCAAAACATAAATGAAAGAGAAATAAAAAAAATTTAAAAAAACTCAGGGCTCAAGAGATACTGTGGGTATTATTTTAAGAAACAGCAGCGCAAGAGAGACAGCAAGTAATGCAACTCTTTCCGCGTCTTAAAAACAACTTACGCTGAGTTCATCATAAGACATTGCACTTTTGCAGGCGTCACAAAGAACTACTCGCTTCTGGCACTCCACCTCTTGATGATTTTGTATTTTTTCATTGAGAACGTTGGCACCGCAGTCGGAACACTTCCTTTCGATCTTCGGACACTCAGACTTGTGTTTCTGAAAAAAGGGATACACTTGTGCGTACAATGGTGATGATAATTAAAAATAACAAATAAAAACCAGCGTAGGTCGCAAACTGAAAACAGACAAAAATATAATCATAGCGCTTTTGTTTACCACAAAAAATACCTTCTGTTTCTTCTAATACTTTCAAAACTCCCTATAAATAGGGTGGTAAAAAAAAAATGAGTCAGAAAGAAACTGACTTGCGGACATCGAGGTTGCAAGAGACACACAAATGAGCCAAATAATTACGTAATATTTACCTATTACTGTTCTCATTAATAAAAATAAAGAAAGCTTAAATTATGAACTTGCTGAGCGTCGTCAAAACCCCCTAAATAAGTTACTGTTAGCAAGACTTGAAGCAGGTGAGAAGCGCGGGAAAATGCTAAAGGTACCATTGTTGTAGCCAACGGAAGGCTGGAAAAGCGAAAACTTGGATTATTATCTGATCTACTGCGTTTTCGCATCCCCAGCCTTCCGCCTGCTGCCCTAGCGGAAAGGTCAGTGCACTCCCCCGCTTCAACCGGCTTCAAATCTTCCTAAATGAATGAATTTATTTGAAACATGTGTATATTTTGACTAATTTTAATGCTAATTAATTTTCATGTAAATATTTTGGTAAATAAGTAGCGGGTTTTTGCAATAATCCTGACGTCCGCCCTGGGTGACTGTTTGTTCCCTCAGATAGTTTCTTTCTTTTCCATACCACCCTATTTTAATAAAAATCTCAAAATATTCGCACAAACACCTGTAATGAAAATAGAATGAACGCGCAAGGATATCAACAGATATTTAAACATGCCGTTTATCGTACAAAGGAAAACTTGGATTCCTGTGAGGTGTTGTGCGATGCAGAGGGTAAGCTCGTCTAGTTCTTGCACAGGGGTCGCGGTGATGTCAGAATGTCGAGCTCTTATCGGCTGATTGAAAATAATAGTGCGAAGACCTCGAGGCATCTAGCATTGAAGTCTACCCACTAACCTTTCAATCAAGGCAGTTAAGTATTTAGGAGTCATGCTTATTAATTAAGGTGTTTTCTTTTGGTTAGGAAAGTTTATCTTTCCAGAGTTGCGTCGGCATTGTGTTTTTTTAGCTTTCTACGTTTGGGTCGGCGGGGCCAGAGCGGCCGCGACGCGGGAGCGGTCCCCCCGCCGGTCGTTAAGAAGCGTCTCGGGTTTCGGGGGTCTGCTCGGACCGGGACCGAAAGAGAACGCGCTGGAAGATGCTTGTGGCTTATAACCGAATGTGCGTGTATGCAGAGGGTTTTGCCGCTTTGTGTAAAATTGTCCTTTTTGCCCGATGCAATAACTTAGCGGTTGGCGCCAGTCAGGCTGGAAAAATTGCAGAGAACAACTCTACGAGGAATTTAGGTTTGACGGTTGGGGCGTCAGGATGACAGCTCGCCGACCATTGGAGAACAGTGTACCACGTGTGAGTGGCGGAGTTTGAAGAGATTGGTCGGTTCCTGAGGGGAAAGGAGGCCCCTACGGGCCTACAAAAAGAGCGCGGAGAGGATTTTGAGGGATTCGGACTTTGGATTTGATGGAGAGAAATTGGGGACGGGGGTCAAGACTTTAGACGAAGCAGGATGGTTTCCCAAGTTGGGACTTGTAACTAGAGTGTAAATAAATGCACATAGTTCTATTCAAGCAGTGAGTCGACCCGTCACTTAGCGACGTTCGTGCCACCACGCTCCAGACCATCGAAGCGGAACCTGCCTCCCACACCACCGGGAGGAACAACTTTAACTAAGGCCAATCAGAACTGGGCGTCGTGCTGACGTCACCGCAACCCTTGCGCAAGATGCAAACGACTTGCTCTCCCTATAGTCATGAGCCAGAGGGCGGCCGGCAACTGGTGAATGCCACTGATGAATCCTAAATTTAGGTGACTTCTTTTTTATAAAGACATTTACACGATGACTTATTACTCGAAACCCCAAACAACGGGTTCACAACATTTTGTTATGTGTTGTGGCTGACACTATACATTTTTACAGTGCATTTTACATTTTTTCAGTGCATTCGTTGTGGCTTACACTATTGTATTATATCCCGTGAGGGGTTTCAAGTAATTCTAGATGTAAACGATCAGGTAAAAGTAGTACAAAAAGAAGTACGTTTGTGGATTTGTCTTTACGTATACAGGTGGAGAAACATTTCGTTACTACATGCTTATATCAGTCTCATTTTGCAAACGCTATGCAATGTAGAATTTTGTAATTTTAGCCAGCAAGAATTTATTATTTATGGAAGTAGAAAATGGTTTGTATGCGTATAAGCTATTAGCAAGCATTTTTATTAGAAGCTAATCGCTTATAAAATATGTTGCAATGCGTTGAAATCTTCCTGTATCAACAGGGCGTGCTTTTGCAGAACGACCCCTTGCCTAACTTTATTAGACTATAATTTCTCAATATTGCATTAATCCTCCGTGAGAAAATATTGGTGCTCGTTTTTACTAGAAGTAGGTGCGAGAATTAAAAGTGAACTATCGAGAAACATGATATTATTACTCAAGCGCGAATCTAAAATGTTACAAACTAAAATCATCACAATTCCGTCAGCTTTTCTGCTGCTTTAGAAATTCACTTTAAAACGAAATCTCTCAAGATTCTGATATTAAGCCTTGTTTTTATTTTGGTACATGCCGAAACATAAAACCAATAGTAAAGATAAACAACAATTTAAAATCTACTCCACCGTCTGACCTCAAATGTAACCACCCAGCCATTTTGTGCTCTAATAGCCTGGTTTTCTGTATTTCAGTGCTTAAAATCCTAGAGTTATTATAATGCACGCTAGACGTTTAAATGGCCCTCGTGTGTTGTTTTAGAATCAGTATAGAGTTTAAAAGGGGTGTACCTTATTAAATAAAACCAAGAAATATATAAATTTACATTAATTTTAATTTCAACTATATTGATAGTATCTGGCCTTGGGTAACCCTTTTATTTATCTTACATTATCGCGTTCCTGGAACAAGCGACATGACTAGGACTGTGTTTGAAGCAGTACAATAGGTACAACTACGGTGCATATGGAACGCGTCTTCGACTGGTCTGCTCAAAACGTCCTAAAAAGTGGTGTGTCTCAGAAGTGTCATGTTGTCGCCGTACGCGATTCTGGCCGAGAGGTGATGAATGTGGCAGACGCCTGTTCTACTGCCTGCAAATCCCTCTCGAGCTTGACAGGCAACAGAAGTTTTAGCAGCCAGGAGTGGGAACTCCGCGACGACAGCGGCACTTCACTTCGCTCGTACGTTTTGCCGTGACTTCCAGAACCAACCGCAAGGGTCGCGACATCCGATAACATAAAAATTTGTTTTTTGTGACGTCATTTGTTGCCGTTCGGGATCACTAGAATAATTTTACATCACGCACTCTGTAGTCGTCTATAGATCTCATACCAGAACATTGTTACTTTATTATTTGTTGCAAGTGCATTTTGTTTTTACTCATAAACAACACAGTGTTTTGTTTCAGCGATATGTAATGATTAGATGTGAAGTTTATCCCAAAGATATTTAGAAAGAAAGAAACAATCGTTCCAACATGCTAATAGCTTGTATTTTCTGTTTGTTTTATTCATTAAGCATCAGTAGTTTTCTTGGTGACTGGCGTGCATTCACTAGGAAAGTGTAAAAATAAAGTGAACTATAAAAAGATTTAGCAATTTTATCCAGCAATTTCTCTTGATCTTCTCAGTAACCAAAGAGAAGGCATCATTGTACCTATCAGCAGTACTCTTCGAAGTGTAAACTACTTTAAAATTTGGCACTATCTTGAAATATTGAACAGCGTTTTTCATTAACGATTAGTAGTGTGCGAATATTCGTCATTTTCGATTAACGAATCGAATATTACCCTATTCGATTTGTTAATCGAATCGAACAATAATTTTCAAAAGTTCTGAATATTTTTCGAATAATTTCCGAATAGTCGTTACAGTGTCGCGCCGCGAGATTCCCTTCACAGGCGTCTGTAGCGAACCCAGGGTAGTCCTTGTTGTCGGGCTCCGCCGGAGCCAGGTACTGACCAGGACATCAGGAAGATGGACCTCGGAAGCGGGTTACTTTTCGATAGACGTTTCATTTACATTTGTACAGTTGGTTCAAGACCAGAAAATAGAAGACATTTGCTTCTCAAAGTTCGCTCATTTTAAACACTTGGTTTTCCCTAGGTTCCTAGGTAGGGATCCCCACATCGGAGGATAGTCGGCCAATCACAGAAATGTGTCCTGTTCAAACACCGCCCCACATTCCATGATTACGCACACTCAGCCGCCGTTAACACTTCACCGTCGGTCTAGACGTCGCCGAGAGTCTCACCGAAACACCGGCTCGTTGGAATTCACGCAGCTGGTCAAAACACCGTCCGGGGCCGAGACATGACGTGCCGCCTTTCGACAATTCGTGTCTACGCGTTGAATGAAGGCGTCCTGAATCTCCTGATGATCTCATCGCCCCGGATCGTGCCCTGGTGTTTCGGTGGTGAAACCTGAGACGTTGTTTTCCCTCTTCGGAGGCTATATCCAGACTTGTACACGTTAAAGTCTGGATATATCTCGGCGCCCGTCTCGTGCGTTCGCTGGGCAGGCGTGCTTCCGAAGCGATGATGGTGCCAGGCTCGCTGAGTCAGATGATCTTGAACCCGCGGGAGGCGTTCGACGAAAACAAACGGCCCGATGCAGACATTAAGAAATGGTCTGGGGCCCATTCATAACACCGTTCATTACACGTCCCACAGCGCTCCGGTACGCCTGCCATACGTGCCCGCAAGATGGCTTTACGTACCCTCTTCTCCTAGACAATGATTATCATCATCGGCAGCAGCAGCTTCCCTCTAAACGTACGTTGCTGTTGCCTCTATTAGGGACCCGCATGAAAGAGATTCGACAAGAGACGAGACAGGCGACGTCGACCCGCTTCGCTGTCGCTCGTTCAATCGCGCGATGAGGCAAGCCGCGGGGAAGTGGCGTGAGCAAGCGACCAAGGCGATGAGGACGTATTCTAGAAATCCAAACACCGAGCGACGCGACGAGCGACAGTGAGAAATCTCCATCACTCGCTGCTGACTCTCGTCGCTGTCGCTCGTCACGTCTCTCACTAAATCGCTTACATGCGGTTCAGCCTTTAAGGACCGCTTTCACACGAGAATGCTCGTTAACGCTTTCAGAAATCGTGTCGTCGAAACGTTTGGAAACTGATTGCAACGGTACCGCCTCTCTGTATCAGCGAAGTAGAAGTGGCAGAAGCGGGAAGTTGTTCGAGAAGAAAGCGCAGTAGAGTATCGAAGTTATTCGGCCGCTCCCATGCAACCAATTGAAGAAGCCACAACAGCTGCTTGTGTCGAGTCTTTCCCAACACTTTCCATGGTCGTTCCACTTGTTCAGTGGGTGAAAATGTTGCTTTTTGAGGGCGCAAGTGAAACAAGAAAATACGTTTTCCCACACTCTTCCGAGATCGGTGAAAACAAGGTTCCTGGACGTTAAGTACACTGGCACACCAGTCCTTGCCACCTTCCTTGATCCTCGATTCAAGGACATCTGCTACAACAAGGAATGAAAAGAGAATGTAGAGTTTCTACTAAGTACATTGCTTCAGGATGTACCAGGCTCAATCGAACTCTGATTTTATGTTCAACATCCCGGTGAATCGTGATATTATGTTTAACATTCTAATATTTTAGTAGCGTTCGACTGCATTTAATTATATATCGCTAAACTCTACTCATTATTGTCTAGTAACGTCTTTACAATAATTTTAAGAAATATTTTGTAACAATAAAAATAATTTTATAATCTTTTCGCTCTTCTTTAGTAGCTCTCTACTTACTATTCGGAAACTATTAACAAATTATGCGGTTCGTATTCGTATTCGATTCGGTGCCACGATTATTCGATTCGTATTCGATTCGGTTCCAAAAAACACTATACGCACACCCCTATTAACGATGTCGCCCACAACTTATCCTGAGCGCGTAGGTTGACTGTACCAGGTTTTCAGTGTTGATCATGTCAGCATTAAGAATAAACGACATAAATTTTCGCTTCTTTGTTGTTTAGAAAGACCGCTCGGCATGCTATAATAGTGCTTTCAATAAGTTGTTGGTATTCTCCAAATAAAATATGGGTGCCAAACCATTAGAGCGTACTAAGTGCATTATTTGATTTGGAACGCACTTAGAACGATGCGTTACCAGGGGGTCGTCTTCACCAAATAATCACCAGACTCGGTGGACATTAAGCAATGAAATAACCGTCACCGTAAGTTGGTTAATTAACTAAGCTCTGTTGATTAATTTTGAATTGGTTTTATGGGTAACGTTGCAGTTGCAGTATTCACGGGCATTAATATTAGATGCTAGACAAATTAAAAGAATTGGAGAACAGACAATGATTTCTTTAGATATTTATAGATTAGTTTTCACGACTTCTCGTATGATTTAAAAATTGCACCCGAAAAGAGCGCCTGAAGTTCTTTCCATAGTGACGCTTAGAAGAGTGATGTAGTCGTCTCAGTCGAGTTGTCACTATCTCGGAGGCCAGTACTTGGTGGAGGCGCCGGCAACACAGTGTGGATGTAGTGACGATGGGACTAAAATGTATGTTACCCGCCTAAGCGTCATTGTGGGCGGGACATCGGGCGTTCTTTTCGCTCACAATCTTGAACCAGTACTTGCTTTTATCTTTTATGTTTTTCTTGATATTATTGGACATCCTGTGTACGGCATAACGAAGGAATAAAAGTGAACTAGAAAAGTCTAAAATCTTGGGGTCTAAAACACATTCTGAGTAATATTTTAAGAAACAAAGCGCGAGAGAGAAAACAAGCACTTACGCCAAATTGAGTGGAAGTCACTAGACTGTGGCACGCATCACGAAGAACTACTCGCTTCTGGCACTCCTTGTCCAGGTTATCTTGTAGGTTTTCGTTGAGAACTTTGACACCGCAGTCGAAACACTCCCTTTCGATCTTCGGACGCTCATAGTTGTGTACCTGGGACGAAAAATACACTTACGCATAAAATGGTGATGATTATTAACCAAAAGTAAAATCAAGCTTAGATGGCATACAAATAAAATTTCAGTACTTTTGTTTACTGTCAGAAAATAATGTATAAATTATAATGAACCGTCAAGAAAATCAACACATTCACAAACATGTCGTTCATCTCTCAAAAAGATTTCAATTACCTTATACTTTTGCGTCATAGTCATAGGTCAGAGGGAAGGTATATGAAAAATTACCCTGATCAGTCCTATGGTTGGGTGATGTGCATTCTATAAAAACATTTACATGGTTACTTCCCATTACTCAGAGATTCAATTATAGTGTTCGAAACGTTTTGTTCTAATCCTTAGAATTATCTGTGTATTGGTTGCCTGTATGCCAAAACCTTTTCTTAGCACATCACAATAAAATTGACCCGCATTCTTGGTCGTGTACATTATTGCACACGACAAAGACAACTACTAAGACTACAGGTTAATTTGCCATCCAAAGAGTCAGCGAGACTTCGTAGACTGGATCGGTATGTAAGGGGCTACATCTCTTATGTAGAAAAGAACCGTCATTACGAACGGTGAATATTTTAAATGCCCAAAGATAATTCTTTTTTTTATTTCCAGAAGTTACAATTGATTTCAGTATTTGTGCATAAAATACGAGCACTAATTATAATGCCAAATTCAAGTTTTATTATGTATTTGTAGCGGACCACAATAAAACAAGTTACAAGGGTTTATCCTTTCTATTGTCCTAACATGGCTTATTATAATATTTTCTTTCTCTAATGACGGCTGAAAGTTATTAATAAATATTGAAATTACATAGAAAGAAGCCTATGGTCGTCTTCACGTAGAATTGATAGTTGACGTTTTACGTAGCGGGTTTAAAATACAACATAAACCCTCACTCTGCAGTGATATGAGCAACGAAAATCATTTTTGTGACCTTCATTAAAAATACCTAGATCTTTATTAAAAATGCGTTTCTATATTCACTCCTCCCAATATTAAATACACTTCTTAAAATTTGGATTATTTATTTGGTAGCTACACATTTCCAGTGGAGGTAACGCCGTGTTTAATATGTTATTTCAACAAATGAAACTCTTGGCGGCCGGTTTTGGTGGTACTGCCTACCTTTAGCTTACTTTCCAGGACGTTGTTTTTACACGGGGGGCATTTGGACACTTGCGCAATAGGTGGACTGAATCGACTGGTTGAATTCCTTTCAGCAGCAGCCTCCAAAACTGGTGAGTGCTTCCACGACATTCTAGACAGCTGTAAAAACGGCAAAATTACAACAAAAAAAAAATATTTTAAAAGTACCGTTTTGCTTTGGAATACCAATATCAAAACGTATTTTTGAAAATAAAATAAAATAAACATTTTCGCTGACAATAACTGAGTTAGTATAATTTGTTCAAAGTTTATGTTGTGCATCAAAGTTTCATTACAACATCGATGCATACACGTATCAGCGACGCATCCCTTTTCATCAATACTTTTCCTGACCTACGCAATCTTGCGACGTTCGATTGCAAATTTGCGTCGGCAAACTTCTATATATCAGGAACAGCAACGAGCGAGGATAGAAGATTGCACAAATTAAAGTCGGTCTTTCAATTCCGGACCTAAGATTATACCATTGCGCACACCACTGAACTTATGGATTTTAAAAATATTTTATTTATTTTCCAATAAAATGCGCAGCATCAGTGATCTCTACTTTGATTGTGCGCGTAACCTGTTCAGGTAAAATGGGATAGTAATGTTTTCACTAAAGTAGTAGTTTAGTTTATTTTATATGCATGTGTTACTTTTAATCATAGTTAGCTCAAAAATGTAAAGTGGAATTTAATAATTATTTTATATTTTCTCAGACCAAACCTTCCAGAATACCTTGCGGTGGATGGTATATGTGAGGGCAAGTACACAATAATCAGCACTTTACATTTTATACTAAATTATAGGAATGTAGGGGTTTAACAACAACATAATTTTTCCAAATTGTCTCCTTCCTTTTCGATGCACTTTGTCTAGCGCCACTGCCTTGCGTACTCCCTCCAAGAAAAATGTGTCGGTTGGTCGCCCGACCTTTTACGCGGTTCCCACACCGGTGGACGTCCGGCTCGCCCTTCGTACATGCAGATTGTACGGACACTTCTAAACGTCTAGATACACTCATAAAGACTTTTATGTTGCAGAGCACTGTCCCCGTATTGTGTGATAATCCTCCGATAAATTTCAACCCCTGATACACCTTCCAACCAAAAAAATTAGATCATTGCTCTTTTTTTCTCTTTAGTGCACGCTCCTAGCAGAGCGGTTATGTTTATTTACAGTGAAACAGAAGCAAGACAAATTACGCTATCAAGGTTAAACTACAATAGCGTGACCACAGTAGTATCAACTCATGCACAGAATGCAGTGTGGAAAGCCTAAAGATGTGTTATAGTGAGCACAGAGTTACTATTTTGTACGCTAGAGTTCAGCTGACGCGTGTGTGCTTTTCCAAATTGAAGCAAGCAGCAAACAGACAAAAATTGATTTCCGGCGATAGGCTACCGGTAATGCATTTCTACAGAGAAAAGCGGGAGCGTTTTTTTAAACTTTATTTTAGGAGAAATTTTTACAAACATTTGTACGGTAGCAAATAGTTGGAAACATTTCTAAATCATGCAACTAAAGGTATTGGTCAGTTAGTGTGTTTCTTTCAAATTTATAGCATAAAATAAAGCGCTAATACAGCTTCATGCATGCAGTTATGTTCACTATCGGACATTGTTGTGCGAACACGGCGTCGGCGCTTTTGAACATGGAAAATTTACGTGCCAAATGAACAAAGGACATCTGAAAAACCTAGCGAGATGGCGATAACTACGCAGTAAAATTGGAGCAGTAACTTCCTGTGCATGAAGACGATAAAAATGAAGTAAAGGCCAAGTTAGCACTGTTCGATTTGCAATAAATAAGTATGGCTTTGGTATCTCTGCTTGTGCAGAAAGAATCCTTCTGTTTTCAAACCAGCACCGTGCGCTAGAAATCGGAAAATAGGGATGTGCAAGAAAGCAGGTGCACGGTAAAGTCTGTCTAGCATAGGAAATAAATAATATTTAAAAACACTTTTCATAGCCCACGTAATTTGTACTTTACGTAAAAATACTTTAAATCGGTAATAAAGTTGCAAAGTGGGGTAACTTTCATGTAGTGACAGGACTGCAGGCAAACCTTGAACACTTTACATTCCTTTCGATTGTTATTTTGCTTGGAATCTTCGCTCGTATTTACGCGCCCGCTATGGAACAGAGGTTTGTATCTTAAATATAGCTAAGTTTAACGTCGTTTATTGACGAGGAAAATACCGTAGCTGAAGCAGTTAAACCTTTACAATGATAAGAATTGTGCATGTAATTCGGTACGATCGAAGTAACAGAAGTGATCTATGTTATTTCCCGGCGAAGAGCCAAAACGCACACGCGTTTTCCCATAGGAACGCACAGGAGCACCGCAAAAGTACACTGGGGTCTCTCTGGCTCAATTTGCATTCCGAATGTCGCATAGACACCAGCGACAGTGTAACCTCTTGACTACATTATCATATCGTTATGATGGTAAATGCGCGGATAATTTTTACTCTTCTCATCATAGTATTGACTCTGTGCTTCATAAAAGTTTCATGTATGTTCAAACAGCGTGCTGATGAAGCCGCTAACAGTGCTGTTTTCCTTCGCCTGAGTGTTTATAAATTCTCGAGAAATAACCTTTAAAGCTTCAAACCTAACTCTTAAAGCGTTTTACCAGTCGACTCGTTTCAATTATTACAATTTCAAAAACAGATTACTTACCTCCTCAGAAAACTGTTCAAAATCATGATCCCAGGTCTTGCCGTCGACAGTTTCGTCAACATCCATAGTCGTGTCCTAGAAATTGCCAGTATTCCAGGTGTCATAATTCAAGCACAACGTTGAATCAGTAAAAAAACTTCGCATTGATACAACAAGAGATTTGTTTCCACACGCATGCTTTACCTACTATGAAAATGAGCCTGCTTGTTGGGTTTGTGATGCAATCGCTGCTATTGCGATTTCTAAGAAAATGGGGTCGGTTACTTGTCAAGCCGAATTTGTGCTGCTTTTTGTGGTATTGGACCGTCTACATTATGACAAATAAACACTATTTATAATACTTGGTAAGAATGTAAAGTGAAATTTGTACCGTTTTAAAAATGGTAGTGTATTTTTCTTTAGGGTGCAATAAAGTAATCCTTTCTTTTCATTCTCACAAGCACTGTCGCATGTCTATTACTAAATGTGTAACTACACCTTGTGGATCAGCGAATATTTTCAATACTTCCTAACTTTAGGGTGGGTGATATTAAAAAAAAAATTGCGGGAATGAACGATCAGCCACGGTCGACATCAGAAATATCAAAAAATACTAATTAGCAAACTAATTACATAGCATTTACTAACCAACCTTTAAATCGTGAAAATAAATATTTGGTTCCAATTGGTAAGCGTCATCGAAAACTCTAAATCAGTCAACTATTGCATGACTTGTATCTCGCGCAAATCACGGGGGTCCGCGAAAGTTATCACTTGTGCGGCAGACGCAAGGCCAGCGATCCAAAAGCGCGGATAAGAATATCATCTGCATTTTCTTAGGGCCGGTCTTGCGCCTGCTTCACGAGCGGTAACTTCAAAGCACCCCCGCGCTCCCACACATGCATCCAGTCGTACTAAAACTGACTAATTTAGTGGTTTTCTACGACACTTATCAAGTTTGTAATTGGAACCATGTGTTTATTTTAACTAAATAAAAAGTAACTGAGTAAGTTTTAGGTAATTGGTTGGCTAATTTGGAATTTTTTTCTATAATTACTGACGTTTGTCGTAGCTGGCATTTTGTACCCAAAGAGATTTTTTTTTGAACCACCCTATTTTTATGAATATGATTTTTGTTTATAGGAACACCCCGTATATCTAGAAGAAAAATCGCACAGGCCTTTGTTTTGTAACCATTTTCTCTGTTTGTAAAGAAAGGTTCACATAGTGTTAATGCAATCCACTTTGAACTAGATATCTTTCTCGTGATATCCCCCCTTTCTTTCCACCGGTGAGGAAGTCGCCACTTTTCTTCTGATCAAACGTAGTAGGCATTATCCTGCCACTGGACCCTCTGGGTGACAGGGTGGAAAGTTTGGGCCGGAGCCACGAGGGAGGGAGTCCCAACTTTCCTTTGTCCCGGCTGTCCCCAGTTGTGTCAGTTAACTGTACGTCATTCATTTCTCCCTAGATAATTTCCACTAGTCTTTTATTCCCCTCTTTGTTATTAAAGTACACTTTTCATCCATTCTTCCACTCTCATCAGCAAACCCTAGCGCTCCGGCTCAATTCGCCGCCCCCTATGGAAGGGCGGAAGCAAGCCCTGTGCACCTCAACACCCCCTGTCCTATTGTCTCGCCTTCCCCTTGGCATACGGCTCACCGCGTATTCATTTCCTCATACTTTGTCCTATATCTCCTAGGCCTCAATGCTCCTATTCTAGTGTCAAATAACAACGAGTTCCCCCGTGAATTCTCACACCAATGTTTCTTCTTTGTTCCTGTTTTCGTCTCGTATACGTAGTTAAAGCTGACTTTTCCTGCATTTTTTGCTCCCACATCTCTCTCGGCTTTTCTTACATTATTTTTTGCAGTGACCATCTGTTCTGCCCCCACACTTGACTGTTGGTATTTGAATTTTAGAGTTCGGGTTCGGTTTATTGATATAGCGTTCAAACTTCATGTACAGTTCCTTATGTACATTTCTCGCTCATGATGTATCCTCAATAGTGTACAGTCTTTATTCAAATTTCAACTTTCCGATAGCCTGTCTAGCCTCGAAAGATTCCCAGCCCATGTTTCCCTGCGCTCCTTCATTTGGCGTAGTCTCATACGCCCCCAGTGCCAGCCTGCCCAAGCTCCACTGCCGGGTCTCTATGCTCGACTGTACCTCAGCTAGGTTTCGTGCAAAACACCGCATTGCCAAAACACTGCCCCGGTACCATGACTCCTTTTCATATTCCCATAACAACCTCATATCTATTGTAACTCCATAGTGCCCTATGATTCATAATTCCTGCATTCCTATTCCCGTTCTTTTAGCATATTTTCTTCCTGTTCTTCTAAGTATTGTTTTCTCTCATTCAGCCATACTCCTAAATATTTGTACTCCTCCAAGTGTTCAATAAAACGTCCTAAATTTTCGAAAGGTCCCCCTCTCCTCAAC